TTATCACCTCTTCAGGTTGTAAATCGTGTTTTTAAAAAGTAACTAAGTAACTAAGTAATTAATTACTTTTGAAAATAAGTAATCAGTAAAGTAACGGGATTACTTTTTGGGGGAGGTAATCAGAAATTAGTTACTGATTACTTTTTTCAAGTAACTTGACCAACACTGTTAGTAAGTGCATTTGACCCTCCCAAGATTACCAAAATCATTACTTCATTAAACCTGGTCAATGATTGTACTTAATTACACTCTGTTTCATTATATAGCACCAAATAACAACAAGAGTCATCTCAAACCATCCTGTATTCTAAGGTAAGGACCCTACAATAACAGAGAGAAAACTCCAGCAATAAAACAACCTCCAATGATCAAGCACTTGGGAAGGAAAAACTCTCTTTTTGACAGGAAGAAACCTCCAGCAGAACCAGGCTCAGGGAGGCCATCTGCCTTAACTTGTTAGGGTTGAGGGGAGGAAGACAGGACAATAATTACACTGTGTAAGAGAGCCAGATTAATAATTACTGATGATTTAATGCAGAGAGGTGCATAAACAGAGTGAAAGCAGCCTAAGCCTATGCAGCGTAAAAAAGGGAGGATTCAGGGTCACCTGATCCAACCTTAACTATACTGTTCCAAAAAAATATATGAACACTTTGAAAACATGTCACATCTCAATGGGGAAAAAATCTTTCTGCATCTCCATACTGATAAGGGTAACATGTTAGGAACACAAGGATGCCACATTGTTTGCTGGGAATTAAAATTCGTCACCTAGCCTGTAGAGGACAGTGCGTTCCTCCATGGATATGCCTCACCAGACCATCACTGACCCACCACCAAAACAGTTATGGTGATCAATTTCACGCACACCATAACATTCTCCACGCCCTTTCCAGACACTTTCACACTTGTCACATGTGGTCAGGGTGAACCTGCTCTCTGTGAAAATCACAGTGCACCAGTGGTGGACGTGCCGATTCTGGTATTCTGTGGAAAATGCCAATCGGGCTCCAGGGTGTCAGGCAGGGATCCAGGAACCACTAGAGGATGTTGAGCTCTCAGGCAACACTCATGAAGTCTGTTTGTGATTGTTTGATCAGAGACATTCACACTAGCAGCCTGCTGGCAGTGTTCATCCTGCTACTTATAGCGGCTTACAAAAGTATTCAGCCCCCTTGAACTTTTCCACATTTTGTCACATTACAGCCACAAACATGAATCAATTTTATTGGAATTCCATGTGAAAGGCCAATACAAAGTGGTGCACACGTGAGAAGTGGAACAAAAATCATGATACATGATTCCAAACATTTTTTACAAATAAATAACTGCAAAGTGGGGTGTGTGTAATTATTCAGCCCCCTGAGTCAATACTTTGTAGAACCACCTTTTGCTGCCATTACAGCTGCCAGTCTTTTAGGGTCTGTCTCTACCAGCTTTACACATCTAGACTGAAATCTTTGCCCATTCTTCTTTGCAATTCCAATAAAATTGATTCATGTTTGTGGCTGTAATGTGACAAAATGTGGAAAACTTCAAGGGGGCCGAATACTTTTGCAAGCCACTGTATAGAAAGGTGAAGAAACCCTTCCTGCTAAAGGGTTTAGGGCAATCTATGGCTCTGTCCAGCTCTCCTAGTGTGGAAATCCTGGAATCTCCTCCATGCTCTTGAGACTGCAAACCTTCTGTCAGTTGGACAAATTGATGTTCTGCCCTGGAGGACTTGGACTACCAGTGCAAACTCTGCAGGGTTCAGGTATCAACTCATGCTATCAATAGTGACACTGAGCCTATCCAAATAGAAAACTAGTGAAAAAACAGTCAGAAAAAATGAGGACGGAGAAATTGCCAGTGGCCTCCACCTGTAAAAGCATTCCTGTTTTGAGGGATGCCTCGTTGTTGCCCCTCTAGTGCACCAAAGCAGCTGAAACTTGCCAGACCAGATCAATATCCCAGATGTTTCACTGACTTGATGATATATCTGATTAAAAAGTGTTACTTACAGATTTTTAGCTTCTATCTCCTGAGATGAATTTTAATTTGATTCTGGATTTAACAGGGAGCCAATAAAGACAAGCCAATATTGGAGATATATGCTCTCTCTCTGGAACCTTCACTAACGCTGTTTCTTGACTGTGATTACTCCTGAAACCTGACTGAAATGCTTCAAATAATTTTGACCTACAACTTGTGAAGACATCCTACTCCCGTGTGTCTTATTATCAAAAAGGAATATATAATTCATGATTTACTTCTACATGCTGAGTGTATACAAAGTGGCTGATAGTGAGTGAATAAACAGAGTCCTGCAGCCTCACACGAGTGCTTGTGTGTTTTATGGCTCATCTGCATGAGAGGTTTGAATACAAGCACAGCTGCAGAAGGCAGCTCGCTTTTTCTTTCCAGCATGCAGAGCAGTGACGTCTCACATCGTGCTAATTTAACAGGTATTCATCGTCCAATGGACTCAGTGCAACCATGTATTTATTTATTTTTTTAATTAAATAGAAACAGTGCACGTTAATGGCCATCAATATTAAAATATAAAATGTAAAAATGCTGTATTTCAAAAAAAGATTTTTTTGGAGATGCACATGAACTGACTACAAAAATCAGGAAAAGATCAAAACAGTAACCAAACCTCAAAAACATAACATGTCCTTACAAGGTGTCGTTTCATTTCTGATTAATTCCAAACAGGTTAAGGAGATAAACTGGATTTAATTCTATGTGTTCAATTTAAAAATTCAACACTTTGATTTAAATCCATAATCGAATGGGTGGCTAGTTTTGCATTCACAGTAATGCTGTATGGAGTTCAAAGAGGCGTCATTACAGGTGAAAGATGAGATCAACAGGCTGCAAGAGCACCAAGAAGAAGGGAATACAAAAGTGGAGGACGATCACAGAATCTTTTCCATTGTAATAAAATAAAAGCCTTTTATAACATTCAGCTAAAAGAAGACTTGACATGTCAGTAATGTATCATGAAGACTTCATAAGAGACAGTTGAGATGCAAATCATACAGGCCGGGTTAGACGGACGAAAATCCCCTGAATCAGCACTCTGGAAGTGAAGACTATTGGAAAGCAGCTGAGTACACCAACTGATCTCAACATGCTGTATTTCACTGCTGAACACGAAAACTGAAAAGCACGAAGGGCTGCAAACACATGTGAACACACCAACACTTCAGTACTTCTTTTCTTGATTTCAAATAGATTTTTGGTGATGTAGAAGGAAAAAGAAGCAAAACATTTGCCTCTGTCCAAATACGTTTGGAACTATACCGCCTTGGTTAATTAATAAGTAGGTCAACAAGTGTTTTACCTAACTGAGAAAGACTCTGTTTAGACTCCAGACGCCACTTGTAGTTCCTAGGAGACCCTTATGCACCCCCCTCACATTTATCACATATTTCCAGTGGTTTCCAGAGGGCTCTGGATCTTTCTGGCAGGTGGGATCGTGCCCACATTCCCATCAATGTTTTTAATTTTCCATGAAAAGGTCTCGGGGCCCCAAACACGAGAGCAGATGGAGAAACGATGAGCAGGATTTTAATTACAGATGACAGAAGGTGTGTGTGTGCTTGAAGTGGTTTTTGATAACAGAATGAGTATTTACATAAAGAGAACCCCCTCTCTCTCTCTGCTTCTCATTCTCTCCTTACCTCACTTGCCCTCACTCACCCATTCTGTTAAGAGCATTTACATATCTGAGGGCACACATCAAAGAGCAAACCTCTTCCTTCCAAATCAACCTCCTGTGTGTGTGTCTGAGGTTTATTTACTGAATACATCAGAGGACACACGTCTCCATTATTATCCCTGTTTCTGTTTAACATAAATCTGTTCAACCCTGGTGGCATGAAAATGAAACATCTCAACACACATGAGCTGAAGAAACTAATCTTTAATGTTGAAATATACAGAAAAATGACCAGATACTCGTTTTTTATTGCTTTTACATTAATTTAGAGGTAGATCAGGTAATATTAAATTTAATTAATATTAAACTACACAAAGCATCAGACCATCAGGTTTCCCAATGTTAAAGACACATTTAGACCTTAGGGAAGTTCACACTTGGGAGTTTAAATTGAATTTTAAAAAACAAACATTAAAAAAAACTGCAGAAAACTTTTTGGTGATTCAGCCGTAGTGTCTAGTTATAGAATTACATGTACTGAATAAATAACTTTGTGAATGTGAAGCCTGCAGTTCCTCTAATGTCCACTAGAGTGACTGTGTTAAAACATCTGACTTTACAAGACAAACAAACATATTTACACCCTGCTACAATAAAGGTTTTGAACCCTATAGCTAATTCCCCTCTTCTTAACAACTCTAAGGGAGGGTGAATTTTTTATAAGTCATCTGTTTAAATTATATTAAGGTTTAAAGTTTGCATTATTGGGGCGTGGCCTCTTTGACTGACAGGTGGATGATGACACAGGCGGCTAAGCTTCACCTCAGCTAATTGGAGTTCCTGAATTGGACCCCTGGACCCTGTTTATGTTGTTGGAGCATTTTTATTGTGATTATAAGACAAAAAAATACAGATTCCTGATTGGCTGACCAGATCCCAATAAACGATATGTGTAAGTGTGGGACAAAGTGTTAAAAATGCTGGGAGGTAATCCAATATATGTGAATGCAATTTTCCCAATTCTTTTTTTAAGTAAATATAATAAGATTTAAAGGGCGCGCATGTGATAGTCTTTACATACTCCTGCTGTTCCAACTGAAACTGTCTGTGGGTGTCAGTAGTGATGTATCCATAGATTATGTCAATAAAAAGTATACCAGAGTTTAGCTATTTTTAGTCAGTTGTGGCACAGCATACTGTGTCACTTCACACCAGACTTGCTTCCGTGCAAAATCAAAACAACTACAACAAAAACACTATTTATCGGTATATACTGACACTCCATTTCATTTGTGGTGGTTCCAATCATAATCACTAAAATGTGAAAATCTTATGACTTTCTGGTAATTTGTAACATTCCCAACATTAAAGTGGCTAATCTTTATTTGACACATATAAAAAAGCCTTCCCTTGATATGCACTGGGTAAAAGCCACACTTTAGAAAAAGTGCAGAAGAAGTCAAAATGTGAGACAGATGTGGGACAATGTATAAAAGTCTCAATTAAAGAGAGAGATCTGGTCTGACTGCCCAAGAAGTCATTAATCCAGCTTCAATTACTCTAAGTTACTCAGCAGTAATTACAACATAAAGTATCAGAGTGGATGTTGTGGGGTTTTACTGTGTTGTGGGCTAAACACAGTCCCCATAGAACCCGCTCAAGTTCGGAGCTCGTCTTCATTGTGTCTCTCATTACGCCGTCTTTTCCCACTTTTAAACCAGTTTTTGGTTGTTGTGTCGTCTCCTTTCAGATCTGACCTCCTGGAAACCTCTGGTGCTTTCAGCCGCTTCTGTCCTCTCATACCTGAACAGTCACCATATGTTCAGGTCTGAACCTCTGGAACGAGGGCTCAAAGGGGTCCATCAGCCTGAGACCAGAGCAGGAGGAACAGGTTTAACCTTCTGAAACCCAAAGATCTTCACTTCAAAGAAAGTCCTTCCAGACACACTAATACATCCACAACTAAACAAATGACTGTAGACTTTAGGAAAAAAAATCCTACAACATCCTCTCGTGCGGGGATAAATGACCAGCCTGATCTTCAAGCTTCAACTCAACTAAAGGAGGCAATAAACAAGCACTAAAGGGTCTTTTGTTATGTACCTAGAGAATCTAACCCACAACCAGGCTCATATTTAGGGTCATGTCATTCAGTTAGGAACTTTAATTAGCAAATTTAAAAAGTTAAGCAAAAATCTGACTGAAGCCTGAGATCTGCAGCAGATCACAGTTCATATACTGACCCCTGGTGGTGCTGCAGTGACTTCAACCAGACGGCTGGGTTTAAAGGGATGTGAAAAGAGCAGTGAGGTGTTCATATGAGCAGGGAAACAGGGTCTGTTTCTCCCATTTGTACCAGCAGCTAAAAGAGCTCTTCCTAACATGCTTTGTCTTTTATGCATGACGCTCACTTTGTGCTTTGAACAATACCACAGTTTACACCCTTTACACTGTGCAGGTGTCCGTGGAGATGACTTATGATACCACATGTCATCATGACCAGAACACAGACCTGTACGCTTGCACTCTGACGCACGGTCAACGACGCGTCCTCTGTTCCAGCAGCCAAACGGAGGCGATCCTGCTGGCGTAGATCACATAAGACCAGGACAAAACCACAACTGCCAGCAATACCTGAAGGCCGGAGAGAGACTTGATTCAGAAGGACTTCAAACCTTGGAAAGATGGTTAAACGTGCTCTAAGCAGCATTTTAAACACATTTTGGACAATTGAATCTGTGCCACGAAGAGTTAAAACAGCTCATGTCCAACCAGCAAGTTGTACCTAATATGAGTTGAGGCTGATGAGTGTATAAGACCACACACAACTTTTCTGTGACAAACTCACATGATGCTGACATTCAGACTATGACTGTTTTCCTGTCGTACGTAATAAACAAAAACTGGACCACAATAAACGCACACGATAAAGCAATTTGTTACATGTCGGTAATTTTGTGTTTTCACAATCAAACAGGCATTCCAATGTTCTACGTGTTCTATTTTTGATGCGAGTGAAAAATTGTATGCATTTATTTTTGGTCTTTATGATGTTAAATATCAGCTTGTTAGTGTCTTCCTCGCTAGCTTTACTGTTTCCAGGCTGTAGCTTGTTGCTAACGGTTACCGCGTCTAGTCCCGGTGACTGAGAAGTCAATAGAATAAATAAAGAAAATTTACCGCGGAGTAAATCCGGTCCAGAGCCCGCCTGCTGAGTGCCTCCATCTTCTGTTAAAACCTAAAAACTAAACACAAACGCCGCCTCACTTTAGTTTGTTTACAGTTCTTCTTCGACTGCCGCTGCTTCTTCTTCTTGGATTTTCGGCAGACTCAACAAAAGGCGTATTGCTGCCCCTTCAGGTCCTTCAATCAATCAGCAGGAGATGTCAAATAAAAAAAATCAAATAAATTATATAAATAGAATAACGGATGGTTATAATAGGTTATAAAATAATAGGAATATAACATTTAAAAAAAATATATGCTATTTTTATATAAATATATACAAATAAAATCAAATACTATGTAAATATCAATCTAGAATGCTACCTCAGCTGCACGTGCAGTAGACAGCAGTGAGTGTGCAATTGCATGTGTGCAAACAGAGGAATATAGATGGAGGTAAAACAAGTTTACAAACTCCTGTCAGGTGTTTCGGAGTCTGATGGCAGGAAGAAAGAGTTCTTCAGTCACACATTTCTACACCTCCAGCAAGAGGCTGGGAGTGTGAACACAGTTTGTTGGTAGTGAGTAGGGTCTTTAAGGGAGGAGCCAGGTATCCTGTGGACTCTGCAATGGTAGATAGAGATGTAAAGGACCTTCTTTTTCTTTCTTTTTGCAGCCTAATATTGGCCTCTGTCCCCATGAACAGAGATCAGATTCAGGAAAATGCTTGTTAGTGTGCAAACTACTTTACTGAGAATTCAGGGGCTGTGTAAGAAATGACTGAAACTAATGAATAGTTGTTGTTAAACATCTTAAATTTAGGCTAAAGATCAGCACTACAGTAGTTCTACAGTTGATTTCAAATATAGACTGGGGGTATACAAGTCATCTAGATTGCACTTATCAACATTCTTTTTTCCAATACATCCACTATCCTTCCTGCACACATGCACAATCTCAGCCTTGATCCTCTCTAACCCAAGTGGGATAATATGCCTACTCCCCGGAGAGTCTTCTTCTCTTGCTCTGAAGTAATTTTTCTAATCATGGAAACGATCTTGCGATCCCCTATGGGCTCAAATTGTGGTCATAAATATTTTGTACTTGTAAATCAGGATTTGTATGTGTAAAAAAGAATTTGTGTGTGTGTGTAAAAAAGATTTGTATGTGTAAAAAGAATTTGTGTGTGTGTAAAAAAGCCAAACCCATGTGTTCTCTGATTGGATAGTTAAATTTGTGATTGACATGACATTGGCCAATCAGATGAAAGGAAGAAAAATAGGGTCAAAATTCGTACTTGTAACTTGAAACTTGAGTGCAGACTATCTCACGTATTTTTTGGCTAAGTCCACACACAAATCTTTTTTACGCACACACAAAACTTCTCCCACAATTCCACCCAGTGCTTCCTGCAGAAGTTCTCTGATGACTCTGCAATAGTCACTGATGGGGACGACAGGGAGTACAGAGGACTGACCCAAGACTTTGTGGACTGGTGCCAGCTGAACTACCTCCAGATCAACGCCAGTAAAACCAAGGAGCTGGTGGTAGACTTCCGCAGGCACAAGCATTCTCCACTGCAACCACTGAACATCCAAGGTATGGACATTGAGGCTGTGGACAGCTACAGGTACCTTGGTGTTCATCTGAACAATAGACTGGACTGGACTCATAACTCAGACGCCCTCTACAGGAAAGGGCAGAGCAGGCTGTACCTGCTGCGGAGACTCAGGTCGTTTGGAGTGGAGGGCCCACTCCTGAAGACCTTCTATGACTCTGTTGTGGCTTCTGCTATCTTTTATGGTGTGGTCTGCTGGGGCGGCAGCATCTCTGCTGGGGACAGGAAGAGACTGAACAGGGTGATCCGAAGGGCCAGCTCTGTTCTAGGATGCCCTCTGGACCCAGTGGAGGTGGTGAGTGACAGGAGAACGGCGGCTAAGCTGTCATCCCTGATGGACAACATCTCCCACCCCATGCAGCAGACTGTGACAGCACTGAGCAGCTCCTTCAGTGGGAGACTGCGGCACCCACGGTGTGGGACGGAGAGATTTCGCAGGTCTTTCCTCCCCACTGCTGTCAGACTCCATAATAAAAACTTTAACTGATCAAGCACACACATCCATACATATGCAATAATACTAAGTGCAATAATCCTTTCTGTCATCGTTGTATTTTTACTCAGTTGTATATAGCATTTGTATTTGTATTCTATTTTTATCTTATTGTATATTTATTTTATTTTATTCTACTGTATATAGTATTTTATTCTATTCTGTACAGTTGTGTACTGTATTTATTCTTATTGTATCCTAATTTTTGCCTCATAACTTTTGCACTGTCCACTTCCTGCTGTGACAAAACAAATTTCCCACGTGTGGGACTAATAAAGGTTATCTTATCTTTTTACACATACAAATCTTTTTTACACACACACACACAAATTATTTTTACACATACAAATCTTTTTTACACACATACAAATCCTTATTTACAAGTGCAAAATATTTGAGCCCATAGATCCCCCCCTGCTGTCCCTCACACCCTGTGCTGCAGATTGCATTCAGAATCCTCGTACCATCACCCCACCCAACTAGGTGGCAGTGATAAACTGATTGTGGGGGCTGACCACAGAAGAAGACGAAGAAAACTCGACTGTCATTGTATTTCCCATCATCCATCGCGGCGTTTTTCTCGTTCCAGCTGTGAGGAGCGTCGCTTCTGAGGACAGTGACAGGCAGATGTGTGTGTTTCTCACAGCAGTCGGTTTCTAAACGGATCGATACAGTGTGTGTCCGGGGCCATCGCTGAGCTCGGTGACGGCGGATGCCGCTGAAAGCGCGGAGCTCGACCCGGAGGAGGAGAAAGAATCCGGATGAGGAGCAACCCGCGGAGCCTGCTGCTTCCTCAGCTCAGGTACGAAGCTAACAGGCATGCTAACAGGCTGGGGGAAGCCGTTTGTTTGAACCCGGCTAGCTTTGGTTAGCATGTTGGTCTGGTAGCAACCTCGGCATCGGTCCTTCTAGAATATGTTGTAAGTAATAAAATAAACAAGATAATGTTTTAAAACATCATTGTTGTTATGGAGAAAGAATTAAAGAGTAAAGCCAAGTAATTAAACGCAGATTTTTATAATGACCGTAGAAAATAACAAATGTGGGCTAAATGCTAACAGGCAGGGAGCTTCTGTTAGCCAGAGATAGCATGTAGGGTTTTTAAGCAACGATGAGCATCCCTAGCTTGAAAATCTTTAAACAAAAAAACATATTTAATTTAAACAATTAGATTTTTCGCGAATAATCTTTGCAAAATTAAAGGTCTTTATAGAATTGATAGAATTAAACAAAATGGAAGGCTTAGGTAACAGCTAGCTGGTGTGTTAGCAGGCTAACAAACTCAGGGGAGTCCTTCCGTGTCGGTAATTGGGTGAATAATTAGAATAATAATCAGTGTTAATATTAACACAACTGTGTGAAGGGTTTCCACAGACGGAGGGTTAAACAGATGGATGATTTAAACAAACAGAGGCTCTGACAGGTGCAAAGTGTTTACCGCAGAGTTCAATCCTGACTGTGAGCTTCAGTTAGTCAGTGTTAGCACGCTAACATAGTGGCTACAAGGAGCATCAGTGAAGTATAAATCTATAAAGAACAGCACCACAAGAGGGGCTTTGATTTACAGTTAAGTTATTTTTCGATAAAAAGTCAAATATAAAAGCAGAAAGTCAAATGGGTAGCGAAATTTAAAGAGTGACAAAGAAGCAGTAGCTGCTAGCTGTGTTGGTGCCACAGCTTTCCTGTGTTTTTAGATCAAAGTGAAGCACTGGGGAGCCATGTGACCTGATTAATTTGTAATCCAGGACTTTGTTGTTGTTCTCAGCAGGTGTCATTTCACCTGTACTCAACAGTTCTGAATCCTGAAAGCTGAATAAGGACACATTTCTTCCTGCGTTGTTTGTTTTCAGGTGATGGCACCGACGCGAATGAAGCTGCGCGTTCGCCGCCGTGACAATGCAGCCGCAGGTGCTGCAGGACGTGGTGCTGCGCTGGAGGAAGATGAAGAGCAGAAGAGTCGAGAGAGTGGCAGCAGGAGGAAAAACGCTAGCAGATCTTCTACTGCGGCCACATCCTCCTCGTCCTTGTCTCCACCCGCGTCCTCCGCCTCAACGTCAGCACGCCCCCATCTGATGGCAGCAGAGGAGGCGTCGCCTGACTCCAAGTGCCCCATCTGCCTGGACCGTTTCAACAACTTGGCATTCCTGGACCGCTGCAAGCACCGCTTCTGCTTCCCGTGCATCCAGGAGTGGTCTCACAAAAAGCCAGAGTGTCCGCTTTGCAAGCAGCCCTTTGCTTCAATCTTTTACCGGAACCAAGCTGAGGATGACTTCAAGGAATATACGCTACGCTCAGCGCCCCCCAGCAGCAGCGTGGCCGCTACTGTGGCAATGGTGGCAGCGATGGCGTCAGCTGCAAGAAGCAGCCATCAAATGAGGCTAATGCTGAGGCGGCACCGGGTGTCAGAGGCTGGCGAGACAACAACAAGGAGGCGGCGGAGGGAGAGAGGGGCCAGAAGGACGGAGGAGAGGGCAGGGAGTTGGGAGTGGTACCTCGATTCCCCTCCCCTTCCACTCCCTCCTCTTCCTCACCCTCCAGTCGTTGCTGAGGACAGTGAGGATGGGGAGGAACAGAGGATAAGAGGAGGTGCTGATTTGGTGGAGCGCGGTGTGATATTTGAAGGACTAACAGGCCTTGGAGGGGCAGTGGCACCCATTGCCCCCAATGACCGGGCATCACGACGACTGATGACTCGCTTAGCGGCAAGGCAGCGTTTGCAGCGTGAAGGTGGAACCGTGCGTCGACTTAGGGAGAGAGAGACGGTGGCTTTTCGCCGTGGCCTCTATCGCTGTGGCATTCGGGTCCGTGGGGTTGCCGGAGGACACGGCAACGAGGGACAGCGTGACATCACGGCAGATAGCTTCCGTCGGAACCCTGCCCACTTGAACAGGCTCCGCCCCTGGCTGCGGAGGGAGCTCACGGTGCTGTATGGCTCGCACACCTCGTTGGTTGACATCGTTCAGCGCATCATCATGGCAAGGCTCGCCCGCCATGGCCTGGAGAATACACCCAACATAGAAGAAGAGTTGCGGCCATTCTTGCTGGCACGCACTGAGCACTTCCTGCATGAGCTCATCAGCTTCGCCCGCTCGTCGCTCAGCCTGGAGAACTACGACCTGCAGGCGGTGTACGAGCCACCGGACGCTGCAGTGGAACTGGATGGGATGAGCAGCTCGTCCGATGGCAGCTCTGTCATTGCCATCTCCGAGGGGGAGGATGAAGAGAGGGGGGCAGGGGGAGGGTCCGAGGAGAGGCTGGGGAGGGAGGTGGGAGCTCAAGATGACCCCATCCAAACAGCGAGTGTCCTTAGCCTTTCGGGTTGGGACGATGAAACCCCAGGCCCCTCCTACTCCACCGCCGAGCCTTCATCTTCGTTCAGTCCTGCCCTGCCGGAGGCAGCCAATCAGGATGGAGGAGAAAGGCAGGGAGAAGAGGATGAGTGTCTCATCGTTGGGTACAAGAAGCCGATTGCAGAACGGACGCCAGAGTTGGTGCAGCTCTCCTCTGACACAGAAGAAGAGGAGGTAGAGAAGAAGAAAGAGGAGGAGGCTCCTCCTCCCCTCTCTGCAACACCTCCCCTCTCTTACCTACCAGCGATCCCTCCCTCCACATCAGGTACTTACAGAGAGGAGCAGGACAAGGGGCAGAAAATTGGTGAGGTGGCAGGACAGCGCTCACGTGCACGCTCATGGTCAGGGAGCTCTGGTCGGAGCAGGAGCTCTGTGTGCACGCTCAGCCCGGCGACGCCTGGAGAGACTGAGCGGCAGCAGGAGATGGGGAGCTGGAGAGACAGGAAGTCCACCAGTGAGGCAGCAAGAGAGAAGAGGAGGAAGAGAAGGCAAGAACGCAGCAGCAACCAGCACAGGAAAAGTGGCACTCTGTTCAACCCAAATCGCTCCATTTATCCCGCCATGATGCGGCACCGCTCCTCGCCTCCATTTGACTCCAGCGCTGACTCCAGCTCCCCGCCGTCGCCCAGCCCGCCGGACTCCAGCTGGGAGTACCCCTGCGCCCAGGTGTCCCCTCTCACCTCCTCTGCCTCTTCACCATCCCTCTCCTCGTCCTCACCACGTCCTCCCCCACCACCACCGCGGACACCACCGACGCCCACGCTGTCCCCCAGCGACAGCGCTCATCACGGAGAAAAACCCGGCGGGAAAAGGAAATGCAAGAGCCGCCACCTGGACAACAATGTCAAGGATCCCACATGGAGGCCGAGCGGCAGTGGCGGTATTCGCAAGGAGAAGAGGAAAGAGAGGAGGAAGAGGAAGGAGCGAGACAGAGGAAGGAGAAGGGAGAGGCACAGGCGGGCGAGCAGTGGCTACGGTGGCGAGAGGTAAGAGGCCACTGGATTTATTATTATTATTAGACTTTCCAGAAGAGTGTAAATTATCAGTGGTCTATTATTGACTGTTTTTGACAAATTTTGATTTGCAGGATAAGCCGGTTTCACCCACCACCCTCACCTCTGATTTGGGTTTCATTTGACTTGTACCGTATTTTTCGGACCAAAAGGCACTCTGATTTTCTTCAAATTAACAAAAAGGTTGTTTTAAAATCACAGGACAGTGCTTTGAGTGAAAAACTTGAGCTACTAAGTTTTTCGGTAATTTGACACATTTATTTTGCCGACTGAAGCTACCACAAAGCGCGACTTGCACAAGCAGACATGATGTCACTGGTTGTACGGTGAAACTAAGAAACATTTCCTACCTGGGATGTTGCCTGTTGGTTCTCATCGTTTTGACCTCTTGTGATTTTCAAAATCATGTAAATGAATTCCCCACAGGGGATGTGATTTTGAACCCATAAATATTAATGTAAAAGCGTTCCCGCAGGCCAGTGGTGCCTAGCAACATTGTTTATACATTTTGATGTGATGGCTGCTTCTAGCTAGATCTGATTGATAGGTAAACAGAAGAAGCAAGTGTTTAGGTTTTGAAAATGATTATCTTTGGTTAATCACTAAGCTGCAGCTCTTTATTCAGGGGACGATGCACGAAAAATGAGTCCTTTACCACGAGAGATCAGCATTAACGTATTCCTCTTTATTCTGGAAACAGACACAGTTTTGTTGTATTTTCTTAAGTTTAAATGAACCTCAGTCTAATATTAATGTTTGGGATTTTCTTGCCAGCAATGAAAAGGCTTCATGTTCGCGTGTTGTTTCTCCTCTTACTGTTGATTTCTTTTTTTAGAGTTGCTTTCCTGACTCTAAAACTGTCAGCTGAAACATCTCACCAGCTGTTTGGGTGTGAAGTGCTCAGCTCAACAGATGAGGAAGACCTCTCAATAGCTTCCTGTGGTTCAGGTGTTTTAATGACGTTTCCAGAAGTTGCTCACTCCATGCTCTCTCTCTGCAGCAGCCGGAGGTCCAGACAAGACCGCAGCCCCAGCGTGGAGATCATCTACGAGGGCACCATCACCGCCGACGGGGCGCAGCCTCCTGCCCACAAACGGCGCCGGAAACGTCATCGCAAGGCTCAGCAGAGCAGGTACGAGGTGTCACACTGCTGGGAGGGGAAAAAAAGGTTTGTTTT